TAACAGGGCGTCCACGCCTGTGCTCAATGACAGCGAACCAACCACAACAAATTTCACTCCTGTTGTCGACTGATAACAATACAGCCTACAAAATACATGTAAGCTGATTGTAGTAATAACTTGATGCTCAGAGCTTAGAAAGCAAAAACATGGAGCAAACTAAGTATGAATGAATATAGGAACAGTGAGTTAAGACACTTCGGTCCATTAAGTCATATACGTCTTAGCTCAACACCGTGACTGGACCTTGTCAGCATGACGGTCGTGGTGTTCAGGGAGGAGAAGACAGACCCAGGCTGGAACGCACCAAGCTCTCCGGTGCGATCATGCGTTTTTGCACCAAACTCGCAGATCGCTATTAGCAGGAATGATCCCTACGCAGTAGTCTAACACTGGGGCTAATATTGGCCGTGCTTTGATCCTTTTTGGCATGCAAAGAGGAAGGGCATCAGTTGGGATGAAGGTGATGCATTATGGAGCCGCACAGACATCACGGTGCATGATTACCAGTTTTTTGCATGAAATTCGGTCGTTTCTTCGGTAAATGCTCGCTTTGTGAAAAAATGACGAATGCAAATTTTTTGCAAAAATGCAAATTTCCAGTTCACTAAAAAGTGGAAGTATTGCTCGAGCGGTCGTTTGTCAAAAAATTGCACGTTCATTTACATATACGATTGCGGTTAAGGTCCGAACTGTCAACGAATTTTTTGAAACATGCAAATTTTCAGTTCATTGAAAAATTGAAAGTGTTGCTCGAACGGTTGTTTTTCAAAGAATACATGTTCATTTGCATATGCAATTGCGGTTCAGGTCCGAGTTGCTAACAATTTTTGGGTTCAGGAGCTGCTCGAGGCTGTGGTTGGGGAGCTAGAGAGTTGAGTTTAAAATTTTTATCTCGCACGCGCATAGAGAATATCCCTGCAAAACTTCAGCTTTCTATGTTGCCTGGTTCGCGAAATCGTTTCCCGCCAACAAATTTCTTTGGGGGTCTCGTACACGGGGTCTAGGCGCGTATGGGGGAAAACGGAAGGATGACACGGGGTAGGAACATATATCCGAAATTTTAGCCTCCTAGCTTTCCCGGTTGCTGAGATGAAAGTGGGTGACAAAATGCACTCGCTTTCCAAACACACACACAGAGAGCCTCTCGACAATATGCGTTTTTGCTGACTGTAGCAGCGCTATAGCTATAGCGCTGCACAGCAAAGATGCATAAAAAAAGACTTTCCACGTGCGTACTTACACCATACAGATTTTATTCGAAAAAAGCCTATACTAGCGCAAGTACGAATATGCAAAGTGCAAAGTCGAAGAGGTTGCACTGTTGGTGATGAGAGGTAAATGGAAGTTTTTCGGGGAGGGGGGGGGGGGGGGGGGGGGGGGGGGGG